TAAAAAAAAAATAAAAATTTTTTTTTTTTTTTTTTTTTTTTGTAGCCCCGCGAACGGGTAAACATAATAATATTACGCAAGTAAAGTTTGAAAATTTAATATTCAAATCCGGCCCAGACCGTAAATCGTATTGGATACGTAACACCGGAGTCCCCGTCGAAAAATAGCATAATTTATTCGTACACAATGGCTCGACGAGCAGAGTTTCGGACTTTCGGACCGGGTGACCGACGACTTTTTGTTTTTGTGTTTTTTTTTTTTTATATTGTTTTACGACGTATATATTATGTTTACCTCGGGGAAAACAATCTGTTAGAAGCTATTTTTAATAACGGAATTTTATTCGGACTCGCCTACGTTCACATTTCGACGGGAAAACAAATAACGCATTTGCAGCACGGTTTTTGTGATGTATCTGCCGGCGGCGGCGAAACCTTTTACGTTTTTATACGCGCAGTAGGTCCCAGGATCCCTTCCGGCGTGTGTCACGCGAATTTAATAAATAAGACTAGCAACTGAATCGGATTAGGGACACGCTCTGTATACCTATATACCTCTGTACCTATACTAATATATACCTACCCGGGTCTGCACTCAGTGCGAACCCCGTTGACATTGTAGCGTACGTTTCACGTATGGCTCGACGGATTTCTCGTCAAAATTGTACCGTACACGCTGCATAGTATACAACACCTATACTGTACATCTATATTCTACACATATTCAAGTTTTTTTTTTTTTTTTTTTCTAAACAGATATATTTTCGTCTTTAATAATCAAATTATAGTCAAATGATAAATGGTTGATCCGAATCTTCCAGATAACTAATTTATCTTAATCGTAATTTAAATTAGAAATTCAACAGTTATACGGTTCGACGTGTTTTAACGTATAGTTAAATAAATCAACTATATTATCTCGCATCAACTACACATAACGCATTTTGATGTATACGTGCGACGAGCAAACTGTTAGCACTTTAAGCATTTGATATTATTACGGAAGGTTATGGACAAAATTATCCTTTTTTTCTACCTAGATAAAATAATAAGAATAATAAGTGAAAATAAAAATATATTATCTTTTTAGGGAATGATTTCGGTTATTAAAAATGTTTTCTAAAACATAAATGATCATATGATCTATATAAAGCGTATTTATTTAAGATAAGTATAAATAGTTATTAACTTAAACAATTTAGTATACTAAAACAATGCTACATACAAAAAAAGGTGAAATTCGGTTATAAAAATGTTAGCGAGAAGAAGTTGATAGTTTAAACTCCGTAAAAGACGCGTCCATTGACACATACAACACGAATATTATATACAATGTCATCCTCTGGATTTATTTAAGAGGCGTTTAAGAATAAAAAAATGCCTTCTCCCCGAATCAACATGACAAAATTCAACTCAACTCATATCAATCTATCTATTTTTAACACATTTGATATATTTATGAGAGGCATTATCTTATCAAAAATATCAACATTTTATTGGAAAAAAAAATACACATATATAAATATATGTAATAAACATAAATTATCATTGAGTGTAATAGTTTCTAGTTTAAGAGAAAATACGAAAAAAAAAACACACACACTGAAAACAATAATATTTGGCTGTACACAACTTGTGTAGTTAATTATTTATTTTATAAACAAAACCTAAAATTTAATAGACGAAATATTAAAAAAAATTTTCTAATACGTTATCAGCCACAATCGGTTGATTTTACGAACATTGCTGGTTCGTACGAACGTCACCAAAAAACCCGAGATGGCGTATTTCCCGATAAATAAAGGCCTGACAGCGAACGACGACATACGGCTACAGCACAAATATGCGGGGATGGCGGGTACACTGGCTCGCGAAACAGACTTTACGAAGAAAGAAGTAATACGACTGATAGAGATACATTTTATGATGACCAAAAGGCAGAACCGCACCATGGACAAGTTGTGTTTCACCGAGTTTATGGACACGTGTCTGGGATTCAGGAACGCGGACGCCGTGGAGAAGATGCATAGGCTATTTTGCGTGACCAACAGAAAGTTCATGACGGAACGGGATTTCGTGGTCGCGTTGTCGTTACTGTTAATGGGGTCGGTGTCCGACTCGACGAAGTTTTGCTTTAACGTGTACACCGAAATGATCGGGTCACCAGAGTACATAACCAAGGACGACGTGTTGTTGATGGCCAGAAAGAGCAGCGCGAAGATGAGCAAGGGGCTTAACAATGATGAAATCGACCATAATTACGTAGAGTTCGTGATGAGCCAGGTAGACCGGGACCGGGACAACAGGATTTCGTTGGATGATTATCGCAAAACCGTCAACGAGAATGTGATGTGGATGGAGTTTTTGGGCGAGGTGTTACCGACTCCCGAAAATATACAATTGTTCGTGGAACAGTTCACCTTGCGGCCGTATGTGAATAAAATCGAAGTGGCATGGGAAAACCAACACGAACCCAAGACCAGGGGCAAAAAGATAACAACGCAGTCCGATTCGACTCGTCTGACCAACGAGAGTCTGGCGTTAGACAATTCTTCGGGTAGCAGTTTAACACTCGACCCCAGTCTTATAGATCAAATGGACGACACTCCATTAGAAACTTTCCAGGAGCCCCAAGCTGACCCACGCAATCTGCATTTATTCTGAACACTAGTAAAATACGCACTCGAAATCGGCGGTATCGTTCCGTATCGATTTCAAAGTAACATACATTGTTCCGACACCAAACTCGAATACGTACACGCTAACTAAAACACAATGTGGAGGATGTCTATGTATATATTTTTAAATTTCGCTTTGACGGAAATCGTAGAAAAGAACTGATACAATTTAAATGAAATATTACGACCAAGTGGATTTTAATCTCAAAATTAAATTATGAAAAATTGGATTACCTGCATAACCAGTTTCATTTACCCCCATGAAATTTTACCCTTTGGGGATGAATTTTCCTCCAGAAAAGTAAACATTTTCGAGTTAAATTTTATTCTCAGTAAATATTCCCTGGTAAAATTTTACTGAGTGGTAAATACTCGCTAGTGATTTTCTAACCACGAATATTTCACATTCTCTAGTGAAATTTTACCGGGGAGGGGGGGAGGCAAATTTCACTAGAGATTTATCGGAGATGATGGAATATCTGGGCATTAGGCATAGTAAGAATAAAAATAAGTGAAATAAATTAAATAAATAGTGTAAATAAGTATCTTTTTAATTATATTATTTTATATCTGTTTGTTAATAGAAAAATTGTTCATAACTGACGGTGTTAAATCAAAAAAATGGTAATGTTTGTGTGGAGAATTAATTATCAACAAGTTTAAAAAATATCTTACTATTGTAAAAACTGTAAACTTTTTCTGAAAGAGAATTTGACCGGGGGAGTATTTTAGAGAGTTTATTTTTTGATTTTCTCAGGAGTTTTTTCAGTAAATGAAGAAAACGAGAAAATCGCAGGAAGAACGGAAAAAACGTAGGAAAAACGAGAAAATAGGTATAATATCAAATAAATATTATTAAAGAAAATATGTGAATAATGCATATATAATAATTTTACTATAATATGGCATAGTGTTGGGAAAGCTTCACTATCAACTGAACTCAGAATCGTTTTTCCGCTATAAATGTTTTATCGTTGCTTACAGATATACATTAAATGTTTCCACTACTACCTTTTGAACTGCTTTCCTTCAGCAGTGCTTAGTGCCGAAGTAGGTCCGTCTCTTTTCCTTTAGCATCTCAGCTCAAGTCCGAGTCTGATGATCAAGTCTATATTAGCTTAAGTATATTGGAAAATACTTTTCGAAGTCATCTGGATGACAGACCTTTGTTGAGAAATAATGAATTCGATTTATCTTCGAAACTAAATGATGGACCTTTCAGAGAAACATTATACTATTGATACTTTTATTAAATAAATCATTTTGAATTTCATAAATTTTTTCTAATGACTTTTTGATTTACAAACATTTGATTCACCATTAAAGGAGTGCATTTTTGTAATTGGTTTTTTTCTCGAGTAAGTAGCGATTTTTTTTTTTTTTATATATATAAACTATTTCACTAATTTCTGTATTACACTCGCTGTGATTTGTACAATCGAAACAAATATTAATAAAATACAATCAATCCAAACAGTGCGTTACTGAAACGAACGCAGACCGAATATTAATAATAATTGTTACACTCGTTTTATAATAAAGGCCCGGCACGTAACCGGACGTTGTAATCAACAGTTGTAAATAAGGGCCTTATAAATTAGTTGATCATCAGCCATAATAAGGACTTTGCGTCTTATTTGTTTTCCTTAAACTAATTCAATCGATACAAAATTATCCAACTATAAGTGTTTTAAGTTATTTTAGATTCTGAGTGGAGCGAAGAAGTTTATGGCTTTTCAAAGATGTTTATTATTTTTTCTGAGCGTAAATTTTCTACCAAGAGACTTGTTTGGATTTCAAGCAAGTAGCAACTTTTCTGAAAAAAAATTGGCATGAAGAGGTCCTTTGAGATTGTTATTTTACGATTTTTTCAAGAGTTTTCTCACTAAATATGAAAAACAGAAAAAAATCGGGAAAACGTATGAAGTTTACCATCAAATTATTACTTTTTTTTTCTCTGTGACCTTTTTTTTTACCAATAATTTTGTTCCAACTTTTAATTAAACATTGCTTAATAGCAATGTTTCCGAAAGGAAATTTCTTTATCGAGGTATTTTTAAGAAGTCATTTTTGATTTTTTGAGGAGTTTTATAATCAAATTTGATAAACTGATTAAAAATTTTAAAATAAGCGGGAAAAACTTAAGTAAACTTGTAATGGGGAAATGTATACAATATTAAACAAATATTATGAAAGAATATATTTAAGCCTATTTAATTATTATAACATATTTTGTTGACGAAACATCGTTATCAATTGAACTCTGTTCAGAATCGTTTTTTTTTTTTGGGAGCAATGATTCATCATTACTACATTAAATTATGTGGAACAGTACCTACACACGTAATTATTATTCTAGGACGTCTTTTTTTTTCGTATACGCTTAAACTAATAAATTATTCAATTTAAAAATGTTTGATTGTTTAAAATAATTTTCGGCTTTAAACGAGTATAATGTGATAAAGGTGGTAGCTGTACTGGAGTAGAAACAGTATTGTTATTGTTATCGGTTTATTACCGTAAAACGTGTTATGTATTTACGTAAGTGAAATGCGGCGGTTAAGTCACGTAATTTTATAATAATGATATGAAACCAGAGATGATATTATATATTGAACATACATTGTCTATGTATTAAACTTTTCAAAGACCGTGGTAATATAATATATCTACGAAGGAGGTTGATTTTATTATTATGGCGACAGCAATATTTTTGCTCGACGGGGTAACCGCTGTTATCAAATCGTTTGATAACAATCGAAATTATTCCGTCAATTTAAAGTTAAAAAATTTTAAAAAAAATAGTTAATTTTTCAGAGAATCTTTCGCGGAAAACCTGTGTATTTTATTTAATTACATATTTTACTGATAGAATAAAAAATGTGCAAAGTGCCTATTTGCCGCGTCGTGACAAAAAAAAAAAAAAAATTAATACCGTAAAAACGACTAGAAAGGATATGCGTAAAATACTATTTACTAACCCGTCGTATTTGTCCGTATAATGAAAACATTTTTTTTTTTTTTTTTTTTTTTTTTGTTTCAGCGATATTTCCTCAGCACATAAAGAGGAATGGTTCGTGTAGGTAAGTGACGTAGTGTAATATTATTGTTCCCATCAAAACGACTGAGTATTTATTATTATTACACCGTTTTAAAATGTGAAATTATCAAAATATTTTCGTACGTTATCAACGATATTTGACTGGAAGTAGGTACAACAATTCTTTATTATCAAATCCGCGATATCCAATACGCGTGGCGTGCACAAAAATGCACAAATCGTTGTTTCACATTGTTCGTTTTGTAGCGGACAACGCGTTCTCGGTATTTAAACACGTTGGCGTTGCACGGGAAATTAAATAAACACGTGTATTACGACATACCGGAACGCCACGACACGTGTCAAACGAAATTATCACATTTTATTATTTACTCTAATCTAAGGGAATTCCAGTATTTGTTGATATAAAAAAAAAAAAAAAACGGCTGTGTTTAAGCCGAAAAGCCAGTCGAAACTGCAGTAGCGTATTTCGAGTTGACGGATTTTAATTTTGAAAAGGGATTTGGATTGCGATAAAAATGGGTCACTAGGTATTGGTGGAGATGATTTTCCAACTTCGTATTCCAAAAATGTTATGTGTTTTAAGAATGAAGATTATAACCGGAAAAACACCATATTATATTATTTAATATATATATATATATGTTCATCGATATTAAAACTGAAAAAAAAAGCAAATACATAAAATTATTTCCGTCATAACCTAGTAAACTTGTTAATCAATTAAAATCCTTTTTTTTTAACTATAAAATATGTCAGAAACTTCTATTTTTATCTGAATATTCGGTCTAAATCGTAATATGCAACCGTAATCCGTAGATAAATAGACATTTGTTTTTTTCATTAAAACAATAATTAAAGGCAAAAAAAAAAATTTGGCATTTCACAAAATGTTGAACAGAGTCCCATTCCCATAAAATCGTTCACCGATTTATCGAAATATCGTACAATTGAATACGACGTATATAAATAAGTTTTTATCGGTTTCTTATAATTATTGTTATTTGTTTTTTTTTTTTTTTAACAGGGATTGACCCAAACCGTAGCCCAGCAGGGTGATACCGGTAGTACCTCACCTGGCCGGCAAAATGCAGCATTCGGATTGCTGTTCTTTCCTAAAAAAAAAAAAAAAAAAAAAAAAAAAAAAAAAAAAAAAAAAAAAAAAATACTTCGTCTGTTTTTTTTTTTTTTTGTATACAATTTTTATTTCCATATTTTCTTTTCTAAAAAATAATAATAATCATATTATTATTGAAAAAAAACCTTTCCTAACATTATAATTTAAAATTATATTAATATTATAAAAATAGTCTTTATTAACTATATTACGATTGTAGAATAACGCTGTAAACTTTATTATTGTGTGGGAAAAACTTATTTTCGAAAAAAAAAAAATTTAGGATATCTATCCGTAGAAAATTATTACTATTATAATATTAATTAACTAGACGTGTTATACGTATTCTATGTAATAATAATTCGAATAATCGATTGTGTTTGTAGTGTGTTTAGCTTTTAACATATATAACGTATACCAACCGGATTCCTTTGGTTCTATAATTATAGCGAGCGCCTCCACGCCGAACGTAATATTTATTGATATAGCGTGTAGTATAAATAATAAATTATCGTAATAATAATAATCGGTCTGCATTATAAAACAATTCGATAAGGGATTACTGTTGGAAAAAACAAACACGCCCGGTAATAATATTCCGCGATAGCGTCTGGTGGTTAATATATACATTGTTTTATTTATTATTTCTTATTCGTAATCGGAAACGAACAAAACACAAAAATCTAATAATTTATCATCCGTTCCGTTGCGTATCGTTTCGGGCCTCTCGAGTTATTTCGGGCGGCTCGAGTGATTCCGGACCGACGGTTGGTAACCGAACGAACAACATTGACAACGAACCTGGCCATCATTTAATAAACTAATAACAATAATTTCGTTTAAAAATTACCGAACAATCGTTAGATATTATAATAATACAATGTTTTATTTTTTTCGTTTAATCGACATTTCGGAACCGACTCACCCAGTTTACCCGTGACCGATTTCCACGCCCTGTCCGCCCTTGGGCTTATTTAACCATCCAATCATTACTGAAAATCCTCATCGAAAAATCAAATAATGCGTTTTGAATACTTATCAATCAACAACCTAACCTTACTACATATCCTTGCGCGAGTGTATCCCGCTCCGTTCTGAATACCAATTGCATATCCTATTCGTTATCCTCGTCCGCGGGACGTTTCATTATTTCCATATCGTTTATTTACTGATCAGGTTAAAGAAAAAAAATAAATATTTATAAACGTAAAAAGATTTATATTTTTTACTCTCGACCAACAATCTGATGTTATAATCATGTACGCCTTGTCCTCCCTTAACTCCCCAAAGCGGTTTACTATCCCTATCCACATTGGCCCCTAACGAAACGGGCACCGTCGACGTATTGTTAGAATATTTGTATAATTTTCCCCTACACTAAATAATAATAACATAACCGCATTCTACCCTCGCGATTTTTTTAACATTTGTATAATTATTATTATTATTTTTTTTTTTTCAAACCGTTTATCCCGCGTCATTATAATATATCATACAGACATGTATCCCCTTCCTGCTCGATCTGGCGAGTCCACGTATTGTTTTATTATTCCGAAAAATTCCATAATACGGATACCACAGATGGACACTCATTTTGAGAATTTTTTTCCATATATATTTAAATTGTCAGCGATTATTGAACAAAAAAATACGAAAAATTGAACCGTAATTATGCGTTGCACGTTTAACAATACTCGGTTTGAATTTAAAAGTCTTCAGGACGTTATGGAACGAAAAATCAGTGTTAATATTGTCTTCACATACTCCGTGATAATTTCGGTTTTGCAACATTTTCATCGTCGACGGTAGTCCGTTTAAAATAAATTGCCGTTTAAAAATCGAAACGCTCAGGGGCAAATGGTTTTTTTGTTTTCTGTTTCCAATTTTCCGACAAAAATAAAACCCTCGCCACCCAACCTCACCCGATACCTACTCCGTGAACATATGATGCATATCTCGATTGAATTTGTTTAATTTTTTTTTTTTTTTTTATATTATATATATATATATATACACAATATCTACCTCTACGTTAAATAATATTTAAATTTTTACCGACTACCTACCATATTGTACCGAACAATAGCAACGAATACCTTATTTTAAAAAATAGAAAAAAAACCTACCAGTAATAACAATAATAATAATTATACTCGGTTGCACGACCAGGGATGGACGGGAGGTCAGGGATTATTACTCTTCCGTCGAAATCGACGATTGTTTTTCACGGGTTCGTATACGTAAAACGCACGGATATTTCGCAAATTACAGACGTTCACTCGTCGTTTACAACACATATACCTAACACCCATTCAACTGAATATGTTAGGCGGTTAATTGTCCCGAGTTTTCGACCCCGGACATCCGTTTGAAATCCATCGATCACCACCCCTGCCCTCCCGAAAACGTATCCTAGTCGCTCCGAAAAATATTATTATTGTGCGTATTTTTTGTCCGCGTAAATCCGCGACGACTGCGGCGCTACGGCGGTCCGTGCGTCGTCGTCCGTATTCAGTTTTAGGGAAATATTATTATCATCATCGTTAAATAACCAAAAGCAAATATGTTACCACCGCAATACCGTTAGAATAATACTCGCGTAATATTGTTGTATAATTGTTCAGCAATGTAAAGAATATTGTCTCGTAAGTGGCCGTTGACGAACGAATGTATTTATATACTAGGTATGTGTAACACTTTGTTTTTTTTTTTTCTAGACCTAGGAAAAAAAAAAGATATTTCACTATTTTTTTCTGTTTCTTGTTAGATTAATAATTATTTAAATAATTGAATTGTTCGTTTTATTAATTAGTTAATAACATTATTATTATTATTATTATTATTATATTATTATTATTACTATTCGTATTCTTATAGTGTATTTTTATTAGCGTATTTACGTATTATTATTAATTATTATCGTATTCTATTAGCGTTACAAAAAAAATCCGAAATATTAAACCGGTGTGAAATAAGCTATAATAATTATGTATCGCACGTATAGCCCAATAAATATTAAACTATTAAATATTACATAATATATTGGCCATAAAGTCATTTAGCGTTAAGTCTCGGCTATCGTAATATTATTAATTAATTAATTAATTGTACGTAAATGTAATATTATTGAAAAAAACAAAAGAATACACACATTAACATTAATTTATTAATCCACGGAAAGTAATTTAATAATATCATAGTTCGGTTGGAAACGTCCGGACCCGGGGGCGCCGATCTCTCCGTAATATTTCACAGTCCGTTTAAAATACGCTCGAATCAATAAAAATGCAACGAAAATATTATGCCGACACGATTTAGAACAATAAAAATCTATGATAATAATTTTCATCTATCGCGGTTTCTCGAACGGTATTATAATTATTTTTTCTCTCTCGTCAGAATACGATAAACGTGCGATATTTTCGTGGTTATTCGCCGGTCACGCAATACGTTCGGAATAACATTAAAAATTTAAAAATAAACAAATCGCACAAAGTTTTTTTAACGTTTTTGGTTCGTATTAAAACGTAGCTTATTGTAGATTCATATAATATTATACATCATTATTATTATTATTATTATTATTATTATTATTATTATTATTATATACGTCAATTAATGTAATTAATAAAACAATACGACTTTACAGTGTGTGACAATAGCTATTCGTATTATATATCGTTTAAGATATATAATATTATAACGTATTTTTTTTTTTTCTTACCCATTTGTCATAAATAATTCATAAAAATAATGATGGTTTCTTTTTTTCTATCTTTTTTCTATCTTTTTCGTTTTTGCCGCCTATATTATAATATACAAACCGGTGGATATCTTTTTTATAATATAGCAGCTAAATACCGATTCAGTATTATATTCGTATATAATATTTTATAAAAATTAACGTAACATCATATATCCCAGAGCAAGAAAAAAAAAATCATTATTATCACCATAATATTATTGTTAATTTTATTTATTAATATTATTATAGGTAATATTATTATTTAACTTGACGTAACATTTACTAAGCAAAACACATTAATATTATAATAAATAATTATTACAAAATACTTGTTTTTGTATATCATCAATACATAATTTAGAAAATATTAACAATATTAAATGTATTTCGTTCCCCAAAAATACCTATACTTATATACATACCATAATATTTTATGAATAATTAATAATAATATTAATAATAAACTACTTCAAAAATTAACAAAATTGTCGTTTTTTTTTCGTTTTTTATTATTTAATATTCGTTTGCAGGTGAACTTTGTATTATGTGATGTTTATAACAGTATTGCGTATAAATGCATACTAATATAATAGGGGTTCGGACAACCAAACTAAATCATGGAACACAACCTCAAATATTCCGTATCCACATTCATTCGAAATATCGAAAAGAATCCTCGATATTGTACACGGATCGGCAATGTCGATACCCGGTAGATCATAATATCAGTTTTTATAAAAGAGTCCAAAGGAATGTTAGCATCTCAAGGGCGATACAATTTAAATGATTTTAGTTAGACTTTTTAGAGGAATGATGAAGCAAAATTGAGGTAAGAGAAATACTAAACAATTTTTTGGTATAGCCTATAGACTAAGAATAACCAAAATAAAATTAGGGGGATGTTTTTATTTATATATTTCAATATTTATCTTTATTATTCCCCGGGGACGCACAAATCATAAATGAGCCAAAACTGCCTTAGAGTGGAAAAATGATTTTACTTCTTCAGAATTTATTGTGGAACAGACGATAAATTTCTCCACCTACAACTCATCCACTACCCCATTAATTTGTTTAATATAAAGTCTAAATTAAAGGTTTGCAGATTTTGGCGATAATCGTGTAAGTTGATGCTAATTACATGGTAAGTATTAGTACAAAAATTAAATTTTTTTTGAGAGGAGAGGCTGGTGACATGTGGATGGGTGTGATTAAACATTTTCCAAATACAAGCACTAAATTTGTCGACTTCCGAAAATGTGTTCTCTATTATTTTATCCTTTGATAAAATATAATAATTTAATGAATGATTAGGTATTAAAAAATACCAAACAAAATAAAACCTTAATCGTTAATTTATCAATATTTAAATAAAACTTTCGCTGAATTGATGACTTTTGAAATTTATGGTTACTATACATTCATCATTTAGCTCTAAATATGTACCTATGAAATGTTTAATGGATAAAGAAGAACATTTTCAATTAGGTAATAATTAATTAAAAAAATATGAAACCAATTTTATCATGATTATAATTACATTATATAACTCAAAATTTGGTACTTTTGACATAGATTTTTACTATTACTATCATACAATTTTTCCTATAAAATCTTAGACCACTACAAATTCAGTTGCATAAATTGGTGGCAATATAACATATTATAATTACAACGTTTCAAATTATTAAAGTTATTCTTTATGATTATGGCTATTTTCTGTAGTGCAATCGAATAAAATACTACAGCAACTATTTTTCTATGGAAAATTAATTAATTATTTTCTTATATCTTTTTTTCATAATACTAATTAATTTATGTTATACATTTGGTACCATAAAATTACCGTACATTTCTTTAGTAATTATTCTCCTTAAACTCGTTCTCCTATAACAGGATTAAATTTTCAATTCATTTTAACAATGCCCAAAATGTATCTGTTGTTTTCTACTAAAAACTTATATACAGGAAATAATTCGTTTATAATAAGTATGTTCTGGCAGCCATTTTTTTTTGTAAATATAATTTATTTTTTGAATCAATAATCATATTACATTCGAGATCCTTTCTTAAATTTACAAATATACATAACAAACATTGTTATACTGAGATACTTCGTGGTTTTTAATCGATGTCTCACTTATTTTCAACCTAAGAAATGTGTGTGTTTGTAAAACTATTTAAGAGCTCATATCGGCTCATCGTGACCAGAAGGTCATCAAAGTCGATATTAATCAGATAACGTTCAGATTCGGTGATCTATGAATGTCTGTACATTATTGTTTAACAATATAATGTTATTTTGCTGCAATTAATAGTTTAAAAAAAAGTTTGACTTTCAAGTGCAAGACATCTTAAATGCTGAGTAAAAGTCAGCGTTACCAAAACAACTTTAAAATTATATTCTCCGTTCAAATATTCAATTTAAAATTAATTTTTTCAAAACTACGAATTTTTAAAAAAAAGGCGGTCTCTCTCCAAGAATGCGAACTATAAACTGTAATAATCCAATGTTGAAATAATCGTACTTACTATTCATTCAAACCTTAGAATCACTGACGATATTGTAATAATAATAATTTATTCAATAAATAAAATGGGTGGAACCCAACCGTACAGGTAAGAAATATTAAAAATACATAAACTGTATAATAATGACTGCGGTCTTGTGTAACTACTTATAATTATATGAAATATCACAATAGCCATTGTCCACATGATGATTGTTACTATTGTGATAGTCAGTAACGCAATAATATCGCGATGTGAACTATCACAGAGACAGCGTAGATATAAAGAAATTATGATTAAATTAATTTCGATAGAAACGCATGTGAACGTGTGACACGGATGTATGCCAATAAAATGAAACTACTATAGTTACTGTTACTCGCACAGTCTAATGATAGTGACTATCAACGCACTCGTGATAATCTGTAGTTGTTTTCACCATAGTCTGTATAGTTATTATCAGCCTGTTCAGATGTTGTCATTTCGTAAACGAAATACTTACAGATTCAAGTTTTTGCAACTTTAAAAAACACGACTGTCACCGTGACGACTAGATTGTAATAATAATAACGTATTTTCGAAAACCGAACTAAAAATGATTCGCGTTGATTAATAATTCACACGACCTGCACATTAAACGCGCTGAATAATAATATTCTGTATACACAATACCTACGTGTACGCATTTATTAATAATAACATTTCGAAAATATCGAGAAACTCGCAATGAACAATAATAAAACTGCTTTGGCGCACCACCTGCTAGACCCCATCATACAACACTCCCCCACCCCCGTAATCCGTCTTCCACTTTCTTATTATCCGTTCCCCGTCATCGGAATTCTAACGTTCGAGGGGAGAATGTTTTTCGGGCGTTTCAACGTTGTAGACATTTTTTTTTTATTATTATTATTTCAATATTAAAAGCAACAATAATAAATCATTGTAGCATTCAGAAAACGATTCCGCGCGAAGGTACTGTGTTATTTTAAGTTTTCGATAAAATAACAAAAATCGATTTTGCTTACAAAAAAAAAAAAAAAAAAACCCACCCATAAATTGTTCAGGTTTTTTCCTCGACATTCGTTTGTTATTTTCTGTACTCGTATGTGAAACTATTGAGAATATTGAAAAATTACGTTTTTTTATGTGCCATTCCCATTTCAATTATTTCTCGTCATTAGTTGTAGTGTCACGTGTGTAACTTTTTTTCCAAGCATTTTCATTATTCCGGAAAGCGTTTTCCGAGAGAATAAAAACGCATAATATATCATTATATTTCGTTCGGAATAATGCAAAAATACATCATCAAAATTAGCAGCCGATAACATTTTTGTTTGAACCGTGTATACTATTCAAAATCTTGTACACAAACCGTGAAAAATGTTTTAAACACTTCCCCAGAGCTCCACCAATAAATAAATATTCGTTGTAAACTAACTTTAGTATTTAAACAGAAGGGTTATTATATTAAAATCTCCAAAAGGCACGTTTTTGATAATAACGTCATACTTATATGAATATTTATACCTCTAGTTTTATTTGGGTAGTCTGTAGAGTGTGGGGTTGTTTAAATGTAAAAAAACACCCTACTCCCGCAATAACACTGTGGAATTAATAATGCAATTTAACCCACATTTTTACAACTAAATCTGCCGAAAAAATAACACCAATTTCCGAGTAAAAGTTTATTAAGTACAGATCAAGTCACTAAAAATTATACAAAGAACCGCGAAAAAAATATTAATGTATATATTTATACGTCTGCAGATATTTATATTACAGCAATTGTCTTGCATAACTATGTAAAATAAAGAAAATGTTTACATTTTATAATTTAATGAAAAAGTTAAAATAAAAAATATATATACTTGGGGTTACAAATTTTACAAGTCTTTTTTGGAAGATTTCGGTTTCGAGATTACAATTAAAACGAGAACCAATTTTATTTTGGCTGATGACGCATAAGACGTTTAAAATGTATTTCAGTGGTCAAAACATATTTGATTGAACGTGAAACTGCCTGTGAATGATTACAAGTTTTTAACAACCATTCAGTAGTGGTTATAATATAGATTAGGTACTAATGATGTTAAACAACAGCACAAAATACCATCGAATAATATTATTAAAATATCTTGTTCGATTAATAACATCACGAAAGATGAACATAAACGTAAATTAATATTCGACGGCGCGTGTCATGTTTACCAAACAAATTACCAGTTTTCGCGACCGAATTTAGAACTGTTAAGACGGCGGTAGAGGCACCTACTCGTATGTCAACATAAAATGCTCATAATTTCGTCTGGACGGTCTAACGTATAGTTTGTAATTGTTCGGAACAGATGAGCAATAAACAATTCTCCGACCCGACCCCCAAAAAAAAAAAACCCTGGCAACGGTCTCGTCTCGAATTATTGAAACAGTAACCACGTTACGGTAAACCGACGACGGAATATTTTACGAGACAGTGCTTCAGATGTATTTCCGAATATCTAACATACGGATCACGCGATAGTGTACAAGGGCGTCCGTCTTCGAAAAATCCAGGGGGGGGGGGGGTAAACAGTGTAATTTTTCAATAATATTTTCCTTTCTGTTAAACTATTAACTGCTATAATATGTAAGTTTACGTAACATCCTACAATAATATTTATCGTAACTATATAATTATTTGTAAAACGATTAAAAGTAGGTAGGTAGTTTGATTTTTGATAAACCGAAACTAACACGTAACCTCACTTTATTTGAATTGAACAACGAATAAAGACACTGCGTATGCTGATATTTTATGTCGTCGCATTTGTCCTTAACACTGTTTGTCGAACGACGACTAACGCCCGATCGCATTGAGTTACTTTGAGCTAACATTACAAATGCCGGATACAATATCGGACAGCGTAACGGATTC